GGGAAGGGGGTTCTGAAATAAATAGGGAGAGAGTGGGAGGCGGATAGAAGAGGGATAGAGGAGAGGATAGGTGGAGAGGAAACAAACAGGTCGAAGAGGCGGGGATGGAGCCAGTAAAGATGAGTGTAGGTGGGGAGTTAGGAAGGGGATAGGTCAGTCCAGGGAGGACGGACAGGTCAAGGGGGCGGGATGAGGTTGGTTGGTAGGAGATGGAGGTGCGGCTTGAGGTGGGAGGAGGGGATAGGTGGGAGGAAGAATAGGTTAGGGAGGCAGGGACGAGCTGGACTGGTTTTGGGATGCGGTAGGGGGAGGGGGGATTTTAAAACTTGTGAAATCCACATTGATACCATTGGGCTGCAGGGTTCCCAAGCAGAATATGAGTTGCTGTTCCTGCAACCTTCGGGTGGCATCGTTGTGGCACTGCAGGAGGCCCAGGATGGACATGTCGTCTGAGGAATGGGAGGGGGAGTTGAAATGGTTCGTGACTGGGAGGTGCAGTTGTTTATTGCGAACGGAGCGTAGGTGTTCTGCAAAGCGATCCCCGAGCCTCCACTTGGTTTCCCCGATGTAGAGGAAGCCACACCGGGTACAGCGGATGCATTATACCACATTGGCAGATGTGCAGGTGAACATCTGCTTGATGTGGAAAGTCTTCTTGGGGCCTGGGATGGGGGTGAGGGAGGAGGTATGGGGGCAGGTGTAGCACTTCCTGCGGTTGCAGGGAAAAGTGCCGGATGTGGTGGAGCTGGAGGGGAGTGTGGAGCGGACGAGGGAGTCACGGAGAGAGTGGTCCCTCCGGAAAGCAGATAAGGGTGGGGAGGGAAAGATGTCTTTGGTGGTGGGGTCGGATTGCAGATGGCAGACGTGTCAGAGGATGATGTAGAGGTTTGCAATAAACAACTGCACCTCCCAGTCGCAAACCATTTCAACTCCCCCTCCCATTCCTCAGATGACATGCCCATCCTGGGCCTCCTGCAGTGCCACAACGATGCCACCCGAAGGTTGCAGGAACAGCAACTCATATTCCGCTTGGGAACCCTGCAGCCCAATGGTATCAACGTGGATTTCACAAGTTTTAAAATCTCCCCTCCCCCTACCGCATCCCAAAACCAGTCCAGCTCGTCCCTGCCTCCCTAACCTGTTCTTCCTCCCACCTATCCCCTCCTCCCACCTCAAGCCGCACCTCCATCTCCTACCGACCAACCTCATCCCGCCCCCTTGACCTGTCCATCCTCCCTGGACTGACCTATCCCCTTCCTAACTCCCCACCTACACTCATCTTTACTGGCTCCATCCCCGCCTCTTCGACCTGTTTGTTTCTTCTCCACCTGTACTCTCCTCTATCCCTCTTCTATCCGCCTCCCACCCTCTCCCTATTTATTTCAGAACCCCCTTCCCCTCCCCCTTTTCTGATGAAGGGTCTAGGCCCGAACATCAGCCTCTCTGCTCCTATGATGCTGCTTGGCCTGCTGTGTTCATCCAGCCCTGCACCTTGTTGTCTCGGATTCTCCAGCATCTGCAGTTCCTACTATCTCTGATTCAATTTTAACCACATGGAATAATTGAGGCAAATAGCACACAGGCACTTAAAGGGAGGCATAATAAATGCAAGGGTAAGAAATGAATAGATTGACTTGCTGAAAGGATTAGCAGAAGAAAAGGGCGGAGGAGGTTTCCATGGAGCATAATCATCATTAGTGGCCTGTTAAATGATCTATATATCTGTGATAAAATATATTTGTATTACATAAGAAAAAAATGAAACATTATCCTTGAGTATTTTCAAGAAGAAATGGAATTTGAGGTGACAGTGCAAGCAAGGTTATTAAAAGAGAATTAGATCATCATTTGAAAAGGAAGAATGTGCAGGGTTACAGGAAGATGTTGGGGTTAATGACATGAAATAATTTGCTCATTTCAACACCCAGTGCAAAAACATGGGCCAAATGGCAAGTGGCATACCGGTTTCCCCTGATTACCCCCGAATGGTTTCGCTCTGTAAAAGTTCTGAAATTTTATGTGATTTCAAACATCAAAGGGAATAAAGAATGTTCTTCAGGCAATAATGTTTAGAAGGTACATGTTGATCCCCAAATTAGCATAAATATATGCGAAAAACTCTGACAGTTTTAAAGTAAGCAGAAATATATGTTCCTTACAAATTTAGCATTTTTTCAAGGCTGAGGGCATTCAAAAGGATGCCAAATTTACAAGAAACATTAATGACTCTCAAATCTAAACAAGTTTTCCACATCACAACATACATCACAAGTACCACACATGAATATTTGAGATTCACACATTTGGGGTTTCCCTTTTGCTGCTTTTGTCAAGTTCAACAATCATTTACACTATTCATTGGTTCTATTTGCAGGTGCAGTCAAAAGGTTTCCAACCTGTACAAGTACCAGAAAAGTTACCACAATACAATTATTGTCATGGGCTTTCTGGAGCACAAGCAATGAGTCGGCCAGCAACCCAGTCATCTGGAAGACCAACATCCCAGTCAGATAAAATTTCAAAGAAAAAACTGACCCCATGGGATGCTGCATCACAGTCTGCTGTTGGTTCAGTAGAGGAAGCATTTTCCAGGAGGAAAATCCAGGAGTCAATAGCAAAGAATATTGTGTCAGCAGCCCGCCGAAAGACATTACCTGAGCCTCCAGAGGAATGGAAGGCACGAGTAGCCTATGTACCACCACTTCCAAGCAGTTACTCTTCTATTGCTGCTTTCCAGGTGAGAAGACCATCTAGCATATCGTCCTCAATCAAAACTACAGCATCCATTCCAACATCCACCAGCCAACAGAGTTCAAGGTATAAACAGCCACTAAATTATCAGCAATCACTGACTGACTCAGATCTGTCTACTGGGACATATTCTGAACATGAAACTTCAGGAAAGCAGGTAATTGATCCAAATTATAACCCTTATCCACGGGGCTGGAAGAAACAAAGATGAAACCATAAAAGAAAAATGTCTTCACCTGTGATTCGTCAGGCATTTCCTCATGTTGAAGATTACTGCACCGTTTGCATCAACAGGAAAAGTGAACTGGGTTTTTAAAGAGAGCAGATTCAAAACATGGTGTGTGAAAAACTTTAAGATAAAGAAAAAGCATTTTGTGGTGGACATTGCCTTCAGTATTGGGTTTCCGTTGTGTTCTGCAGCACCTGAACTATTTTCATATGCATATTTCAGTAAGGTATTGAATTACAAATTGTTAAAAGTATACAAGTGAAGACTATTATAGCACACACAAAGCATTTACAGACAGAGAATGCAATGGATTGGTCTGTACACTGCAGCATTAACCTTATGATATTATTCCCAGATAACATACAGCCGTTGGTCCTAGAGACAGATTATTACAGCTTTGGGATCTATTTGAACAAAAATAAGCAACCATAAAAATGGATGTTCATTAAGTGGTAGGTGTCATATTTTGCATTGCACAATTTATAACATTAGAGAATAACTTGGCCAATAAAATGTATACACAGAACTGGTTGTCTTGGGATGAGTTACAATTCTCTAACAGGTCAGAAGGGTTAAGGCAATACCATGAGAGGAAGTATAAAATATTTTTCCCCAACACAGGCTAATTGAAAATTTCAAATGCCAGAAACCAAGACAAAAATTTTGGGCTTGTTTTTATAGCATTTTAACACATTTTAACACATTGCTTTTCATTTACAATAATTGATTAAGCTTTTGTTTGTGGACTTGTCTATCCAATGCAATACTGACATCACACACCAAGAAAGAAAGTAAAATAAACTTTCAACTTTGAGGCAGGCAATGTTATAGGATAAGAAAGCAATGTGCAACAGATTTTCTTTTAGCTGAGAAATGTACTGCGCTTTGTAGAAATATTATGCATGTAGGATATTGTGAACAACAGCAATGTCAGAGAAATTTCTAGGAGAATAGGTAATAACAAACTATGGCAAAAGGTGTAACAAATACTTGAAATTTAATCCATTTGACAAACAGAAATCTTGAGTTTTTCTGTCCTGAATAAAAATTAGCCATTAGAATCATGCATGTTTGTCACAACCAAAAAAAAGTTAGCTTACAAAGGTTAACACAGTCTTCATTATTATGATACTTACTATGTAAATTGTAAAGAAAAAGAAAACATATGTATAAAATTATACTTAAAAATTATCCAGCTCCATTACAGCTATCCAAAACGTACTGAGGATTTGTTTTTAGATCTGGAGAATGCTTACACTTGGCCACAAAATAAAATCATGCATACTCTTAAGTCCTACAACTATGCAATTCTTTGAAAGTTAAATAAATATTATCTTGAAACAAATAATAATGAATTTGTACATTAAGAAAGATTGGTAGAAATTGTACAGAATAATGTGTGTCACTAGGAAGTTTAGAATGACTTGGGAAGCATTACAGCTTTACGTTTTGAGCAAACGTTACTTTTTAAGTGCTCAAAGTGAATTGGAAAGATTGTCATGGGTTACAGTATGTGCAATGTGTTTTGAGATGTGAGTGCAGAATTAAAGGGAGATGTAGAAAGGTTTTGAATCATTTTGCTTACTCACTAATGTATTGGATAAAAGTCAGAATAGTGATTATTAGTGTTAATCTAACAGCTAAAATTGTGGTAATCTGAAATAAACATTCAGACTATCAATTTTATTTTTCACTCATGCATAGGACATAGGTGCTTCTGGCTGGCCCAGCATTTATCACCCATGTGAAATTGCCATTGAGAAGGTGGAAGTGAACTGCCTCTTGAACACCTCAGCCCATAATGGGTACACATATCATGGGTTTGGAACGTGCTGCTGAAGAAGTTTTCGTGAGTTGTTGCAGAGCATCTTGTAGATGGTACTCACATGCATTGGAGATGGAGGGAGTGAATACTGAAGATGTTAGATGTGGTGCCAATCAAGCAGGCTGCTTTATCTTGGGTGTGGTCAAACTTCTTGAGTATTGTTGAAGATGGACTCATCCAGGCAAGTGAGGAATATTCCATCACACTCCTGACTTGTACCCTAAACAGGCTTTGAGGAGTCTGGAGGCGAGTTCCTTACTGTTGCATTCCAAGCCTTGGACTTGCCTTTGTAGCCAAGCTATTTATCTGGCTACTCCAGTTTCTGGTCCATGGTAATTCCCAGGCTATTGATAGTGGGGATTGAGCAAGGGTAATGTCATTGAATGTCAAAGGTCAATAGTTGGATTCTATCTTGCTGAAAATGACCATTGTCAGTCAGTTTTGAGATACGAATGCTAGTTGCCACTTATCAGCCCAAACCTGAATGTTGTCCAGATCTTTGCATATGTACTTCTTCAGTATATGAGGAGTTGTGATGGTGTTGGATATTGTGCACTTATCAGCAAATATCCCCACCTCTGACATTATAATCAAGAAAAGGTCACTGTTGAAGCAACTGAAAATAGTTGGGCCTACGCTGTCCTGAGGAACTGTGCTCTGTGGTGTTGTGGTAGTGTCACCACCTCTATATCAGGAGGTGAGAGTTGAAGTCCTACCTGCTGCAGAAGTGTCTAATAACATCTCTGAGCACGTTAATCAGAAAGTATCTACCCTGAGGATGTGTTATGGCTGAGCTTATTGACTTGCAGCAATCATAACCATCATCTTTTTTTCCAACCAGCAGAGAGTTTTCTCCCTGTTTCCCAAGACAGCAGATTTGTTTTGGTTTATTGATGGCACGCTCAATCAAATGCTGACTTGGTGTCAAGGGCAGTACCCTCTTTTTTTATTCACTCACGGGACATGGGCCTCACTGGCTGGTCAGCGTCTTTATTGTCCATCTGAGTTGCCCTTGAGAAGGTGGTGAGCTGCTTCTTGAATTGCTGCAGTCTACATGCTGTAGGTTGATTCCACAATGCCGTTAGAGTGGGAATTGCAGGGCTTTACCCCAGCAACAGTGATGGAAGAGTGATATATTTTCAAACCAGAAAGTAAGTGATTTGGAGGGGGACATGCAGGTGGCGGTGTTCCCATGTATCTGCTGCCCTTTTCCTTCTGGATGGAAGTGGTCACGGTCTTGAAAGGTGCTGTCTAATGATCTTTGGTGAATTTCTGTAGTGCATCTTGTAGATAGTACACACTGCTGCTACTTAGCATTGGAGATGGAGGCAGTAAATGCTCCATTGCACGCCTGACCTGTGCCTTGTAGGTGATGCACAGGCTTTGGGAAGTCAGGAGCTGAGTTATTCACCGCAGTATTCCTAGCCTCTGACTTGCCTTTTGTAACCATTGTGTTTATGTGGCATATCCGGTGAGTTTCTGATCAATGATAAACCCCATGATGTTGATAGTGGAGGAGTCAGTGATGGTAACACCATTGAACGTCAGGTGGCGATGGTTAGATTGTTGCATTTGATCAAGGACTGCTTCGGTATGCATGGAGTCACTACTTCCTCTCATGAGTTTAGTTTTTTTGTCCATATTTTGAGCAAAGCTGGAATGAGGTCAGAAGATGCATGAGCCTGAAGAAACTGAGATTGAGCTTCAGGGAGCATGTTATTGTTGAGTAAGTGCCATCTGATAGCAATGTCAAACTCCACTTCTATCACTTTACTGATAATTGAGGGTAGACTAATTAGACAGTAATTGACAGGTTTGGATTAGTCCTGCATTTTGTGAACAACACAAAACTGTGCAAATTTCCACATTGCTGGGTAGCTGGCAACGTTGTAGCTGTACTGGGATAACTTGGCTAGGGGCATGACTGGTTCTGGAGCACAACTATAGTTCTATTGTCTGGATGTTGTCAATGCCTACAGCTTTTGCAGGATCCAGTGTCTTCAGCCATATACTGCTATTTACCAGAACTGAAATGAATTTAACTCCCTCACTTCCCAGTTGTTGTGTAATCAAATGCAGTGAATCAATGTGGTACGGTATCCTGGCAGTTGTAATGATGTCTCATTCTGTGTCATCTGCATTTAAGCCACTGGGCCAGTCCAAATGGTGACCAAGTGACTGATGACCCACAACATACACACAAAGAGAGTGGAATGCCAGTCAGAATATGATACAACAGACCATTGGCACGCTGAAATAATGTTTTTTGCAGTGTGAACCACTCTGAAGAAGCCTTGTAGTACTTAGCTAGGTGGTATCAAGATTCACGGCTGTCACATCAAGGGGTCAGGCCTTTGTGTCAGTTATTTGGTGAGCAGCTAAGGAGAAGGAAGAGGAATTGAAATAGTTGGGGAAGCGGGGAGAAGCCACAGCAAAGGAAACAAAGCTAGATAGTCCTGTCTAGCCAGGGTGTCCATGGAAATTTCATCAATCTGCTATATTGAAGAAAATATAACCCAAATTTCCCATTCGGCAACAGTCCCACATGTTGCCTTCTCATGGTCACTGACTATCACAGTGTTAGATTGCCAAAATACAAAAATAACAGACCACATTAAAATAAACATTACAAAGTAAACTTATAAATTAAACATTTTGAATTGAATACAAAAGTCAACTGATCACACTTTCTCAAAATGTGACACTAAGTGATGCTGTTTTTCCATCATCAGTACTCTTCCAACAATGGCTGTTCAAGCACTGTTTAGGAACAATTCAGACCTTCATCACCTGGAAGGAGAAAACCACAAGTGCAAGGTTATGACGAGTGTAGAGCTGAGGAAGTAAAAATTGTATCCTTACATTATCTGAAGTTACTAAAACAGAATAGAATGTGGGATATGGCGAAATTTTTTATTTTTTATTCTTGGGGTATAGGTGTCGCTTGCTGAGTCAGCAGTTTCCCTCGAGAAGGTGGTGGCGAGCTATTTGTCTTCTTGCATCACTGCAATCCATTTGCTGTAAATATTTCCACAATAGTGTTAGCGAGGGAGTTCCAGGATTTTGAAACAGGTTATTGCCAATCAAGTGCTGCTTGATAGCACTGTTGATGTCACCTTTCCATCACTTTACTGATAATTGGAAATGTACTGATGACACAATAATTGGCAGGGTTGGATTTGTCCTGCTTTGTACAGGCATTACCATGGCAATTTTCTGCATTGTTTGGTAGATGCCAGTGTTGTAGCTATAATGGAACAGCTTGTGACAATATCACTAGATCATCAGCTTTCCTCAATGAACAATCTATTTCAGTGAGATGTCTGCCCTGTTTAAGTAGCTGAAAGTGTCCTCATGCAATGACGTCTGGATGAGAGACTTGCAGCACTATGAAATATGCGAGGGTGCCTTGAGGTTAGGAACATTAAGTCTAAATTTTGATTGATGGAAATTGTTATGATGTGAGTAATGGAGAAATTAAATGATATCAGGGGCTAGTGGTGAAAATGATGGAATATTGCATTTGACAATACATCCGTTGCCCTTGATACTCATTTGAGATAATTGAATCCTTTGTGGTACTACCTGTAGGTCAAGGGTGTAGATGATTTGTACATTAGAATCCTCGTACCAGCTTTTTGTGGCTATATTGTTCTGCTAAAATGTCAATGATTATATCCTTCCCTGCAGAAAATTATTTTGGGTTTAATCAAAACTTAACATTTGGTCCTTAAACATCCTGAACAACTGGCTTAAATCCCAAAATATCACATAATGTAAAACATTTTACATCAAGTATAATGCATCATTATAGCAATACTGAGTTGGTCATTTCTTGATGTTAAGGTTCTGTATCTTTTAGTTGAAAACAATGGAAACACTGATATTCATGTAAAACTCAAAATATCAAGACCTTCACATAGTGTTCCTATCCTATCAAATTTTTACTGTCTTCAACAAAATTTCATAATTACAAACAGAATGTAGACACATTGTGGTACATATATATAATTACATAAAAATAGCTGTGATGCACTCATTGAATGCAGAAAAATATGGAACAATATTTGAACTGCCCTAACTTTACTGTTTGTGTACACATTTTGAACTGGTGTTCTTATCTTGGCATTATCTACATTATGACTTTAATTCAGCGAGTTGAATTTCTAGTTGTATTACAATGTTTATATACAAGTATATGGGAGAAATATGCAACACTTCAAACATGTTAAGCACTGAAAACGTATTATACATAGCATGTCACATTTATAAAATGGTAACTTGAGACAAATATTTGTTTTTACTTGCAATATTTGTCAATTATGCTTCTGATATAGTGGTACAGAATGTTCAAAAGCACGTATTTGATTTGCACAATTCGTAACAAAAACTTTGTTCCATTATTAAAATGCTTTGAAATAAAGTACTTTCTTGTTGTATCATTTTTGAAGGCAATAGCTTCTTGAACATGCAGATTTCATTTTGAGTGGTTAAAACAAAAACTTCAAAAAGTTGGTACCATAAAAATGCATATATGCTTGCATTTTTATCTAATCTCAGTGTTTTCAATGACAATTTGTATAGTACTAGTTATCTCACAAAACGTATCATTTTCATTTAAAATATTTAAATTTTGAATCATTGTCACTTGCTGGATTAATCATATTTGACTTTAAGTATTATGCACCAAATAAATCACTCTCCATCAGCTGTCACTGTAATCCCAGTGTTGAAAGAGGGAACAATCGAATTGACTCCAACCTTCTACTTGACATCTCATGATCATTGGTGAAAGGTACATGGAAATAGTAACAGGTTTGATGATCTTCCCCAAGTGCTGAATAATTTGCCTATATTCACTGTGTCAGCTCACATATGGAGAATGATTACTTGGACAAGTAGAGTGGCTGGCACTGACAGAACGAATCTCAGCACAAGGCAGCTTCTTATTGGACGAAGGAGAAGGAGAGAAAATAAATGAAACAAGCATATGTTGCACAATTCCTGTGAATGAAGAGCTAAATCTCAATGCTTATGTTTACCATGCCTTTAGTTTGATAAGTGCCCATGTCCACTATTACAAAATCAATTACATCAGACTACTTGAATCTCCACATTTAAACAAAGGTTTCTCATTTTAAACTGTTTTCTTAATGTCAAGATTAAGTAATTGAAACCACCAGACATATTCAGAATAAATAAAACCCTTAGAAAATAAATAAGGAAAAACAAAACTTTATATGGCATCTTTTACATAAAAAACAATCCCACTGATTATGCATCCATGAAGTGCAAAGAGAAATTGATGCCAATCCACAGGAGATACTATTAGAAGAGACGACAAAAATGTTAAACTTGAGGCATTGGAAGACTAGAAATAAAGGTAAATTGTTGTCATGGCTAAGCATGACTTACATTACAATATGGTATACTAATTACTTAGATGAGCTGGTTACAGAAATTAGAGTAATTGGGTCTGGGGAGAGATGGTAGCAGGCAGTTTTTGGTCAATCACAGACTTTGATAATGGGGATGACAAGCCCTCAAGGGTAGGTTTGGTGACTGAGAAAATAAGTCATTTGTAAAGAGCAAAGGTTAAATAATTGACACATTGGGGCACTATGAAGAGGAAAGGTCAATTCTTTTGATATCATATTCCCTACCTTGTAGAAAAAAAAAACAATGAAATGGTAAAAGCACTTAAAAAGATGACGTTTAAAACTTCCTGCATCATACAGAAAATTCTTCCCCAATGATAATTTATTCATCTTGGCTGGCCCACAAGGGAAGAACCAAGTGAAGGCAAAGTACAGGCTCAGGAAAGAGGAAACATTAGAACATGGATCAATCAACACTACTCTTGAGATGAACTTTCTGCGCAGAATTGCAATTACTCTGATGAACATTTAGCAGCAGCCTGCCTTCCCATCCTCCTAAAAGTAGAATTAAATAAACAGACTTGTACAGAACGTTTGATACCCATCAAACAACTTTTCATTAAGACAGTACTATACTACTATATCTATACTTTCACTTGTCAATTGACATCTAATAGGGGATAGGGTTAGGAGCTGTTGTACGATCATGTCTACTGTCATTTGAAGCTGTAGAATGACTGATTTGTCAAATGCTATTGACAAGATTTGGAAAGATACAGTACAAAAATAGGGAAAAAGTTGTCATCTTTGCTTTTCTATATGTAATAGTAAATGTTTCTTTTAATTTATTCTCTGGATTTGGTATTGCTGACAAATCAGGTATTTTAATAATTTCTACATGCCAGTGGGAAGATTGTAGTGGCTTGATACAATTGAGTAGCTTTCTAGGCCATTAAGACTGAAACAACATCGTGCTATACAGGCAAAATTAGGCAAGAGCAACCTTTCCTTATCTGTTTGTTTTTACAACAATCCAACAAATAGTTATATTTAATATTTTTAATTTCCAAATATATTTATTTGTTTTGACTGAATTCATATGCTCAAACTGACATTCTGGAATTTGAATTTACATCCTCTGGATTAATAATGCAGGCCTCCAAATTACTAGTCCAATAATTACAATTTTTTAAACCATTATTTGTTGCTTTCAACTTTCAGATTGAAAAACAAAGCAAAATTACAGCAACAACTTGCATTATAGCACCTTAATGTAGAAAAAATACAGTACCACAAACTTCCTTACAAAAGCATACAGATTTAAAAAATCCATCAAATCAAGAGGATAAAAGAAGGGTGACTGAAAACAATGATAATGAGATCAGTTTCAAGATGAATCTCAATAGAGATAAAGGAAAAGGGAATTCACAAAACACCCGAGTTGAAAGTTGTAGAATTGTTCAGATAGTTTCAGGGTTAGAGGGGGTTACAAAGTAGAGGATCAAAGCTGTAATATGATGTGAATATGTGGATGAGAATGTTAAATTGGAGACATATGGACCTACAGGTCAATGGACTTCTATTAAGAGAAGTGTGGTGGCTAAATGATACTAGATGGGCTATAAAAGAGGCAGCATATCTTGGATGAGCTGAATTGAATGGAGGATAAAAGCCAAGGCAAGAAAGCATTGGAAACACTAAATATTAAGGCGACAAAGGTACAGAACTATTTTTCTTTGGCAGCTGATGGGTTGAGTCAGGAAAAGATGTAGCCAAAGTAAAGGTAAGTAGTATTTGTAGTGGAAAGTATATGACATCAATTTGGAGACAAAAGAAAGCCCAATTTTGGGAACTATCTTGTTTAAATCTGGCTCAGTAGCCTACAAGGAAGCTGGAAATGGTGATGTTCGACAGGGTTAGTCTTAGGTCCTTTGTTGTTTGTAGTATATATAAATGATCTGGAGGAAAATGTGGGTGGTCTGATAAACAAGTTTGCTGATGACACAATGGTTGGTGGGGTTGCTGATAGTGCCAACAAATGTGAGAGTATACAACAGATTACAGATAGATTGGTGACTTGGACATGGAAATGGCAGATGGAGTTTAATCTAGCCAAATGCAAGGTGATGCATTTTGGAGAATCAAATTTTGGTGTGAATTATACTGTAAATGGCAGAACCCTTAGGAACATTAACATTCAGATGGATCTGGGCGTGCAGGTCCACAGTTCCCTGAACGTGGCAACACAGGTAGCCAAGGTAATTAAAAAGGCATATGGTATGCTTCCCTTCATCACCTGGAGCATGGAGTACATAAGTTGAAAAAACACGTTGCAGCTATATAAAACCCTTATTAGGCCGCATTTGGAGTATTGTGTGCAGTTTTGGTCACCACATTACCAGAAGGATGTGGAAGCTTTGGAGACAGTACAGAGAAGGTTCACCAGGATGTTGCCTGGTTCCAGGACATTGACTATGAGGAAAGGTTAAAAAGACTAGGATTGTTTTCACTGGAAAGATGGCAGCTGAGAGGAGACCTGATAGAGGTCTACAAAATTATGAGAGGCCTAGATAGGGTGAATAGTCAGGGCCTTTTTCCCAGGGTTGAAGTTTCAATTACGAGGGGGCACAGGTTCAAGGTCAGAGGGGAAAGTTTAAGGGAGATGTGCGAGGGAAGTTTTTCACGCAGAGAATGGCAGCAGCCTGGAATGCAGTATCAGAGGAGGTGGTGGAAGCGGGCACATTGAAAACATTTAAGAGGCACCTAGATGGGTACATGAATAGGGAGGGAATAGAGGGATACAGATCAAAAAATGGCAGGTTTGTTTTTACATTAATTAAGGAATGATGGTCGGCACAGGCTTGGAGGGCCAAAGGGCCTGTTTTTGTTTGTACTTTTTCATTTGTTCAAAGCATTTGTGATGGTGGGCCAAAGACAATGTCAAGAATGTCACTATGTCTTTGGTGATTGGTTGGAAAGTTGGACGGCAGTGCGTTATTGGCAGCAGTGGAAATGTTGGCAGATGTGGAGCCTCCACAGAGCCCAAAATAAACAAATTTTTCCACATTGAGAAGTTCCTATTGCTGCTTAGGAAGACAGTCCAATGATAACTGGTGACCTGCCAGAGGCTTTGGGGAAAATGGTTGGCCCTCCATTTTTGGGCAGATTAAGATTCCACACTTCGTGTCCATGACACTATCCTGGATGGCGACTGAGAAGTCCTAACATTCTGTTGAAGAACAGATTGTTGAACAGCTATGACATGTTGAAAGCCCCTTCAAGTTTTAACCATTATGAAAGGAGCTTGATTCTGTATGAGGGCCTTAGACATAAAGTGATGGACGTCTACAGTGAAGAAAAAGGCCGTTTGGCACAGCACATCTGCATTGATCCAAAACAACCACCTAATTTTTCTAATCTCATTTTCCAGCACTTGGGCAATAGTCTTGTATTCCTTGGAATTGCAAGTAGAAATCTAACTACTTCTTAAAGCATCTGCAATACTCCTGAGATTCCACTGCAGCACTCAGCTTCTAGATGCATGCTTCCCCTGTTGCAATGCAAGCTGCGGCACCAGCAGAGGACTTCAGATCTGCAAGTATATGGATGGAATAGACCATGGGGCTTCCAGAATAAAAAGGATGTGTCCAAGCTCTGCACAAACACTCTGTGACATATGTTCCTTCACATTGTCCATTTTTTTTTTGGTATTGTAATACACCAATCATTTGCAGTGTACGCCCATCAGTGTTCATCTGTAGACTGCCCATTGATGTGATCATTTAAGTCTTCAACAGAACTCATGTGTAGTCTGTGACAACTATAATATCACCTATCCCAAATTCAATTTATTCATATATATCTCACCATTTGCAGATCACATCCGTCCTTATGTTATCATCAGAATTTATTTTTATATAAGTGTCTGAGCTGGTGGTTACAGGTATGAAATCAAGCGAAGGTTTATCTTCATCATGATTGGCTTCTTGCTGTTCTTCCTTTACCTCATGGATTTGCAGCAGGAATTCCCCAGGTCATTGTAAGCAGGGAACTGTGGGTGAGCTGCGAGAGGTACGAAGGTGAAAAGGGACATAAAAGAGAAGATTCAACTCAAAGCATTTTCATTTCTCACTCATTTCCAAAGAATCCCTACAGTATGGAAACAGGCCATTCAGCCCAACAGACTGACACTGACCCTCCGAACAGCATCTCACCCAGACCTATAAGCACCCCCTACCCTTTCATGCAAATGCCACACAGACAGTTGCCCGAAGGTGGAATCAAACCCGGATCCCTGGCACTGTGAGGCAGCAGTGCCAACCACTGAGCCACCGTGCCACCCCTGATTGCTTCCAATTACTTTACTGCAATTTGCCTTGTATCTTATGTCTAAGCCTGTCTCTGCACAAATGATTGGAGGTGCATGAATCTTTGAGTGATCCTCAAGATCTAGTGGATGTTATCCAAGATAATCATAGCGGTCAGAGCAGGGAAGGGATCAGCTGTCAATACGTCTGCAGAATCCATAGGGTTGCAGCACTTAAAAGTGTTAAGACGAGGAAAAATAAAGTTAACTAAGCACATACAAATGGACAAATTTCATATTGTTAGACCGGTAAGTTTCTATTTTATTTTTGAGCCAAATAAATATTATTTCATTAAAACACTATCCAGTTTTGATCATTTTTGGCAGCTGGAAGCAACTAGCCTTTTTCAACAGTGATCAATGATAAAAACGTTGAATTTAGGCCAAACAATGGCAAATGCTTGCTGGTTTGCAGGGCTATTTTGTGGTGGTAAAATGGGATAGGATGCCAGGAAGTGATTTTTGCATAAAGCTGCCAGGTGGGTACATAACTGGAATCTACAAAGACCTTTCAACATTTAGTAATTCCATGCAACACCATACTAAAGGTGTACCCACATCAAAGCACCAAGGCCAGTTTTTTTAGACAGCCTGTCTCCACACCCAGCAGTTCCAATGGCTATCTTTCTGAGGCAGCAGAATGAAATCCCATTAACCACTCCTTACTCAAATTAAAGTTAGATTTTCCAGGGCACCTTTTCTCCCCCAAACTTGGTTGCATATTTAATTGACCCCGTGACTACTGTGCATTGGAAAATTTTGTCTAGTAAATGTTCACACTGGTCATCCAAAAATAAACTTAATTTTAATTTTATAGCTTTGTTACATTTGATTTGTTTTCAATTAAGTTATATGACATTGTGAAGTAGTTTAATTTTTCAACTTAACTTTAAATGCAAACTAATTTAAATCCCAACTGAATAGTTTGGGATTTACAGTAACACATGTTTCAATTGGGTATTAATGTCTTCATAATTATCTTATTTAATACATGTATTCATTTTCCTATTATCATACAGAATTTCTCTGCATAGAGTCTTGTGCAATTTGGATTGCAGACATCAGTCCAGATAACTAATGGATTGAATGTCCTTTATCTACAACCTTTTATTGAGTAGAATGGAGTGGTTGAATTGCTGAACACTAAATATAGACATTTGATGTAAAGTTGATGCGAGTCCCCGAGGCCAGTTAATTTTGGTGTTTGGGGGGTGTGCAGACCACGGCAGATGTGATCCTGGAAAGATCTATCACTTGCTCAGCAAAGCGAGTCATCTCCAAACATTTTACTGGTAAACTACTGGAAGAAGATTATATCATATTCAAGCTTTCTTGAAGGATCTGTATTGTTTAACACAGGTAACATCATTTGTTTTTCAGAGTGTCGACAAAATTTGCTGTTTAATGATAGGAGCCAACAGAAATTTTCGTACACATGTTCAAGTCTTGTCAAAATAATATCCTAATGTTCTTAATCAAAGTATATATATATATATAGATATTATGCAACAATCCAAAAATAATCATCAGGTTTTCTGTCTGTTGTCAAAGTTTTGTCTGGTTGTTGATTTACATAAATGCAAATGGAAAACTATCAAGAGTTTGGAAGTTTAATATTAGTATTCAAACAACTTAACCATGATACAAATATTTTGTTATGTTTGAAAGTAAAAGAACTGAGATAATAAGATGACACACAGCAGGAAGCAACATGTGTAAAATGGGTAAAGTGTATATTTACCTCTGGCTCATTTTCCATGAAAAATTATGTATTAATTAATAGAGAATTTTTGAAAGACTTCTATTATTTTCTAACTAATTCTTGGTAACACATTAAGGTGCAGCTTCTTTGATACATGGCCTGAGTTAGAATAATTGTAATTATTAAGATATTTCCAGTCATTGTAACTTATGATCTTTGACAATGAATAACGAAGTGACCAGATTTTCATATGCTCATATATACTCTGTTGGTTAACAGTTTTCAGCTGTAAGGAAAAACATAAACAATGCAATCACACAGCACCCTCACAAAGGAATTGAAGAAACAAGCGTCAGCCATTGTAAAAGAAATCCAAGGAAGTGGTAGGATACTGTTACACTGTCATTTCTAAAGTCTGTAACTAAAATCCTTTAAAATTCTACCCAGCCTCTTATCAACTGCTAGTGTGTGTGTGTATTTTACCAAAAATAATTTAGTGGAATATCTTACTGACTATGGTAAGTAATCCTTTTGTCATTACCACTGTCCTTTGAAAGTTATTTTTGGTTTGAACAACTGCGAGTAGCTGTTGTAGAGTGCTGAGATCTTTGACAGCTGACGTACATTCTCGATATACAGACCTTCTGACCTACGTTCGGAATTAGATCACCAACAGTTTCATTTACAAAGCAAATTTTCTTCGGGTGTGCACATGTGCACATTTATACGTGTGAATATAAAATAAACAAAAAGGCAGATGCATTCACAATGATTACATATAAATAACTACATACAATGACCACCCATCAAATCGCAAAGCTTTAATTACATACACTTGCAGAGCATTCCTGATTGCCATAGCAAATTTCTTACCTCAGTTCACATCAAGTTACAGTCCCATCAAATGTGAATAGGTAAATAATTGAGTGACTTCCACTGAGTTCCAAACAACACTTTCAAAGGATGGGCTGAGTGCTGTAAATTGCGGCAGTGTTAGCATCTTAGTCATGCGAAAACGTGTAAGTGCCATTTCTGAATAGCCTGAGAAGACCAGGTAGAAGCATTAGATTCGCTACAAGAAAGGGACAAAATTAAGGACAAAACCCAGTTCAATATGCCAATCGTTAATCTTGTGTCCTTTTAACTGTCGCATGTGCATGGAGAAGGGAAAACAATTAACTGGGAGAAAGTTTTAAATAGCTGTCCTAAATCTCGGTCATGCCTTTACATTTTTTTCACTTTTGGTTTAACCGCTAGTGAGACATGATCTTGGAACATTTCTATTTCCCTAGGTTCACCAGATATGTAGGCTTGCACCATATGCACTAGGTTATGCACTTGAGGTGGCTCAGTGGTTAGCACTGCTGCCTCAAAGCGCCAGGAGCTAGGGTTCGATTCCACCCTCAGGCGACCATCTGTGTGGAGTTTGCATGTTCTCCCTGTGTCTGCATGGCTTTGCTCTGGTTTCCTCCCACAGTCCAAAGATGTGCAGGCTAGGTGGATTGGCCATGCTAGTAGTGTTCAGGGATGTGTAGATTAGGTGGGTTATAGTGAGATTGTTCTGGGTGGGATGCTCTGTGGGTCAATGTGGACTTGTTGGGCTGAAAGGCCTGTTTCCACACTGTAGGGATTCTATGAAGTAGTTAAGACATATACTATTATCCTAGTAATAAAGCAATTCAAGCATCAAATACAAGGGAATTATCAAACAAAGATCACCAAATGTATCTAATTGCTCAGCTGGCTAGACAGTTGGTTTACAATGTAGAGTGACACCAACAACATGAGTTCAATTCCCACACCAGCTGGGGTTACCATGAAGGAGTCTCCTTCTCAACCTGTCCCCTCACCTAAGGTATGGTGACCCTGAGGTTAAACCACCACCAATTGTGTCTCTTTCTCTCTCTGCTGAGAGAGCAACCCAATGGGATTATGGTGAGTTTACATTCACTTTTATTGCTGACCATTCCACTTTTTTTTAATAACTGGAGCTAATATGTAGCATTGAATATTATTTGGCTACTCCTAAGACATTGAAATTGACTCCATGTGTCAGGATTAACTTCCATTACGAAACCCCAGCCCTGGGACTGTGAAAAGATTAAGCAGACGATTAATTTCTCTCTCAAAAAAATTACAAAGGGCAGGAAAAAGGCATGACAGTTGGATGTGACAAACCACAAGAAGGTGTTCGAGGCCTTCATTTGCTCTTTCAAGTCACAGAGACAGAGGATAAACATATCATTCATATTGTTCATTTAATTGACAGAGAAACCTTAAACCTGCTTGGACTTTGATATTCAAGAGACACTGTTTGTGAACTCTCTGCTGTCCTTTTGTGGTGAAGGCTGGAAACCACAAGGAAGCAAGCAGAAGATCTAATGCTACTTTAGCCACAAATAAACACAAGTGAATCTTCAAAAACTTCTACTGCCAGCAAAATTACTACACAATCTGAGGTCTCAGGCTATAGAGTTAGAAAAAGATCTTCAATCATTAATGAAAGAGGTCTGACAACTCCAATGTAGATTCATGGACATTGAAGCTTCAGACAGGGTGGATGATGCCCCACCTCCATTAGCAGAAGCCAATTGCATGCAACACATCTTCATAATCACGCAAAGATACAAACATGAATCTGATAGGTTTAGTGAAAAAAAACTTCAAACATTGGAATCATTCCAAATAGTTTTATTGAACAAGAAAAGAACCAAATTGGAGAACTTCTGGAGATGCAAAATACACTGATGAAGGTTAAAGTTGAGCATTAAAAGAAGCTTGAACATATTTAATTTAAACAAGAATTGGAGCAGCCTAACTACTAATTACCTGCAAAGCAACTGCTGACCTATGGCAGTCACACAACATCATCAAGCCTTAGGGACTGAAAAAGAACAGATTACAGATTACAGTCATGAAGAAGGGTTAACTAACAATTACTCTAAGAATAGCTAATGAGAGAGTGCAAAAGAATTTTATGGTGATTCCACATCACATGGAACTGCAGCCTAAGTCCATAGATTCCAGTAGATGTTCTCTCCCAATATCTCTTATATATGGTTATGTCTAATGAAGCCGGTTAATTTTCACTTACAAGAGTGGAGACTTGATCTCGGTATATTAATGAACAAAAAATTAAAACATTTTCACCCAATTTCAACTTTATCTCCTAAATCATTCAACCAAATTTAACAATCTGGCCACCTCTCTAGAATGATAAAAGAATTATATGACATGATAAAACATAACACTCCATATTTAGGGATGTACACTTGAATTAAGGAATTCACAGTCTCATTTTGAATCACCAGGACTCAGTATCTTTTTGTCCCAAATTAGAGTCTGATTCATGGAATTTTCTTTATTTTTTAATCTATCTAAACTAGACTTTCTTATATTAACTCTGAACTGACATCCACCATCTACTTAGACTTTCCTTTCCCATATGTATGTCTAACTTTCTCTTCAGTCTGTAAGCAATGCAAGGAAATCCATTTGTTTTAATAAAGGTTTTAAAATGTGAGTCTAGACAGCCAGGAAAATGTGAAATAACTAATGAGAAAATATTACATCAAAATTGCTGTAAGAATACTTCAAGATACATTTACTTCAATTTACATTCATGAAGGATGATTTCTTTTCATATATGACAATTTTAGAACATAAAAGTGAGTCAAGACACCCAATTCTTAACATTAAGTGCATACCTTTGATTAATTATCAAAACTTTGAGTTCATGTAATTTGATAACTACAACATAAGATTTAATATCAATGTTTTGACAAAGTTATGTTATATCAGCTGGTGATGTTACAGCTCGTACCTTAAAAAGAATACAATAATATATTCCACTATCTGAATGTGTCGCACACAGCTGTTGTTGAAAATTCAAGTTACAAGCATTACCATCACTAATTTAATCACATTGTTTCATACTATGAAACGTCAGCCCTGATTATTCAAGAGTGATACAGTGACTTGGAATTCAAACCCAGAAATAGACAACTTTTTTTTAATCGTCTCATATGCATCTCCTCTATCATTGTCCAATGCAACTCTGTCTTATCATTGCTTATTTTCCGCCTCACTGAGATTTCATATTTTAAAATTATTTTACACTTGACAAGCAGCACTTTTATTCAGAACTTAATTCAATTAATGTTCACTCACCCAAAAACTTTAACTTGAAGAAACAATTACGTCTAAAGAAAGGTATTAAAAATACACAGGATTGGTGCAGAAAGTGAGCTAGTCAGATAACAATCAACAGCAATAACAGCCAATAAAGAATCTACTATGAAAAGAAAGCAGTTGGGGGGAAAAAACATTGAATCAATTGGAGACATAAGTATCATTAATATCACAGAACAAACAACTCAGAAGAGCAGTCAGAACAGGTCATGTGATATTCAGTATTCTTTTGAATGTACATAAAGATCTATTCTTCAGAGATAACTGACAAATTTATTCCACATACTAAAATATATAATTCAGCTTTTGATTTCCATCAAATTGGCATCAGGATAGATTTGTCTTCATTTTCTAAATGTATAGATAAGCTGCAATAAGATCATGTCTGAGTTGTTAATAAAAGGAAATTCTCCTTGTGTTTTGATGAACACACAAAAAAGATGTCTGTTGAGTTTATACAATTTATAGCGAGAGTAATAAAGAACTTCTCTGGAAGCTTAGGCATTCAAGTCCCAGTTCCATATGTTTTGACATCATCAAGACATAGCTCCTTATGCACAAGTTTGGTAGGTATTCTTACAATCAAAGTATAGTTAACCCATTACTCCACATTTACTCCCAACTCTTTCCAAGGCTGAAAACACTTGTTCACTAATATCGTTAGGGAAGGAAAGTTGCTGACCTTAACTGGCCTGGTCTACATGTGACTCCAAATCCACAGTAACATGGTTAATTCTCAAATGCTAATTAAAACTGCTTGGCTAGCCAATCAGCGGTATCAAACTGCCAAGAAGTCTAATAAATGGATCAAAATCAGACAGATCACCCTGCACCAACCTATCCATCAGAAAAGACAATGGCAAAACCAGTCCTGTCAACCCCGCAAAGATCTATTTATTAACACCTCGGGGCTCATGCAACATTTGGGAGCACAGTCCCATAATCAGTGAAACAACAGCCTGACATAATCATAGACATGGAATCATACCTTACAGATCATGTCCCAGACCTTACTGTCACTATCCTTGCAAATGTCCTGTCTACCAGCAGGCCCACTGGACCAGAGAATGGTAGCACATTAGTGTACAGTCAGGAGGGAGCTGCTCTCAGTGCCTTCAATATTAGCTCTGGACTCCATGAAGTCTCATGAGTTTAAATGAGCTGGGAGGAAAATGTTGTCTTTTCTCAGTCC